TCTTTCTTTCTTTCTTTCTTTCTTTTTTTTTGGTCAGTCATGGGTCTTGAACAATGGGCCTGGGCACTGTCCCTCAGCTCTTCAGCTCAAGGCGAGCGCTCTACCACTTGAGCCACAGCCCCACTTCCGGTTTTCTGGTGGTTCGTTGGAGATAAGGGTCTCACGGACTTTCCTGCCTGAGCTGGCTTTGAACTGGGATACTCAAATCTCAGCCTCCTGAGTAGCTAGGATGCCAGGCGTGAGCCACCAGCGTCCAGCTTCCCAGGAGACTCTGATCGCCAATGAACCACTCAAAAACTGAAAGTGCTGTGGCTCAAGTGGTAGAGCGCTCGCCTTGAGCTGAAGAGCTGAGGGACAGCGCCCAGGCCCAGAGTTCAAGCCCCACGAACAACCCAAAAACAAATAGCCTGGAAGGAAAGCCCATGAGACTCATCTCCACTTAAGCAGCAAAAGGCTGGAGGTTTGGCCCCAGTGGTAGACACCAGCCTTGAGTGAAGAAACTAATAGCCCAGACCCCAGGACTAGCATACACAAGCACAAAAATCTGCACTATTGACCACAAATGAAAATGTCCCCAAATACCTTTCACTCTGGACTGAGATACAGAGCAGATGGGTGGGGGGTGGGGGGAGGGCTTAACTCATTTGAATACTTACTATATGTATTAGGTACTTCATAGCTACAACTGTGTTATTTACCTTTACAAATAAATAAACATGAGCTCAGTGAAGGGAAAGCAGGTTTGTTACATAGTGAACACAGGGCCAGATTGCTCAGTCTCAGCGCTACCAAGACCTCAGTGAGAATTTGAGCGCTTAGCGTCATTTTCAGCATATCCACTAGATGGCAGTAGCATCCCTCTATAGGGGCTTCAGCTATTGCCAAGGGTCCCCAAGTAGAGAAAGCACAGCATGACTACTGGCAGGTAAATGAGGAAGGTCATGCTGGGGATCTTCTATCTTCTAGAAGGTGAAGGGTTGCCAAAAGTCAGAGAACTTCATGGAAATTCCTTTCAGTAAGTTGTGGGTTTTGGGTCTGTGGTGGGGTGTGGGTATGTACATGTGTGTGCCAGTCCTGGGGCCTGAAATCAGGCCCTGGGCGCTCTCCCTGATCTTTTTTGCTCAAGGCTATCATTTGAGCCACAGCACCACTTCGGGCTTTTAAGAGGTTAATTGGAGATAAGAGTCTCACCGACTCTTCTGCCTGGGCTGGCTTTGAACCGCAATCCTCAGCCTCCTGAGTAGCTAGGATTATAGTTATGAGCCGTGGGCAGCTGGCCATGTCCAGCTTTTTAGTAGTTATTTGAAGAAAAGAATCTCACAGACTTTCCTGTTGGGCTGGCTTTGAACCGTGATCCTCAGATCTCAGCCTCCTCAATAGCTAGGATGATACAAGTGACACCCAGCCTGGGAACCTAACTCTAATCACACAAACCATATCCATGCCATAGCTGAAATGATTGTAAGCACTCTCAGCTTGGTAACTGCTTAAAACTGAGTCTTCACAGTGTGTTCACCTGACCTCCTGCCCTACAGATGCTAAGCATTTCTGAGTTGCTCTTAAGTTTGTCCTACCAAAAGAGCTTGCCAAGAAATACCCACCATTGGACCTGTGATCTGGGCTCCACTCCAGGGAGTTCCTGGTGGGCAGGAAATTGCCATTTGGACAGTGGCTCCCTTACTCTGCACTTTGCTAATTAGGAAGCTGGAATCCATCCACCCGGAACAGGTGCTGTTTCCTCAGGGGTTCTTCTGACAAAGGGAACTGGCGCAAATGAGCTTGAATGAGGCAGATTAAAGGCTGGCGGGTAGCATGGCAACCGCTGGTACTCATGAACAGAAATGGATCTGGAGTTTTAGATCCCATGCCCACATGTCAAGTCCAGCCACTTACCCGTATCTGCCAAATAGAGATATGGGAAGGGCAGAGAATGGAGATTCATCATGTGACATGGGCGGCCATAGAAAGAGCGTTCTGGTACATCTTCAGCCATCTTTAGGGTATGTCTAGAAGTTGGATTTGGGTGGGTTTTGTTTTGTTTTTCATCATTTTTCATCCTACTTGATGACCTCTAAATTTCCTAGATTCAACTTTTACCTCTTATTATTTTTAACACCTCTCCCCCCCCCCCCCACCCGCCAGTCCTGGGGCTTGAACTCAGGGCCTGGGCACTGTCCCTAAGCCTCTTTATGCTCAAGGCTAGTGCTCTACCACTTGAGCCACAGCACCAATTCCAGCTTTTTTGAGTAGTTTATTGGAGATAAGAATCTCATGAGGACTTTTCTTCGTGGGCTACTTACCTTTGGACCATGATCCTCAGATCTCATCCTCATGAGTAGCTAGGATTACAGGTTTGTTCTTTCTATGCTGGCACTGGGGTTTGAACTCAGGGGTTCTCTTGCTAGGCAGGTGTTCTACCACTTAAGTTATACCCAGCATTTATTTCTAGCATCTCCTGTGATTCTTAAGAGTTTCCATCTGCTTTTTTACCCATATGTTCTTGCATGTTTTCTACTTTTTCCATACCAGCTCTTAGCATATTAGTCATAGTTATTTTAAATTTTCTGGTAATTCCAAAATTGGTATCATACTGAACTCTGTTCTGACGTTGGCTTTGCCTCTTCAGTCTGTTTTTTTCTTTTTTTTTTTTTTTTTTCCTTGCTTCTCAGCATTCCTTTTTATGTTCTTTTCTTTTTGCAAGTGCCAGTACTGTGGTTTGAACTCAGGGCCTGGGCACTGTCCCTGGGCTATTTGCTCAAGGCCAGTGCTCTATCACTTGAGCCACAACCCCACTTCCAAATTTTCTGGTATATATATACGGTATATATATATATATGATTCTCAGATCTCAGCCTCCTGAGTAGCTAGGATAACAGGGGTGAACCACCAGTGCTGGCTTCCCGTCCTGACTCTTAATGCTCTCAAGGCATGGAGATTGGGATGGCAAAATGGCTGTGTCCATTTGGCCTCTGGTGGAGCAGGCTCTGGCGAAGCCGACCCGGTGTGAACCTCTACGAGTACAATTGGTTCTGGCTGTGCATGGACAGATGCAAAAGTTCTACCATCTCTGGGGGCTCCACAGTGCTCCCCACTTCAATGCTTCATGGCTTCTATGGACTAGGATCCACCTTCTCAGACTCCATCCCACAGTCTACCCTAAGTCTTTCTTTTAGAAATACTGTCAGGGGTGGGTGGCTCACACCTGTCATCCAAGCTACTCAGGAGGCTGAGATCTGAGGATCATGGTTCAAAGCCAGCCCAGGCAGGAAACTCCTTAAGACTCTTACCTCCAATAAACCACTAGAAAACCAGAAGTGGAACTGTGGCTCAAGTGGTAGAGCACTCGCCTTGAGCTGAAGAGCTGAGAGACAGCGCCCAGGCCCAGAGTTCAAGACCCATGACTGACCAAAACACAAACAAAAAACCCTGGAAGTGGAGATGTGGCTCACATGGTAGAACTAGCGTTGAGCAAAAAACTCAGGGAAAGCACCGAGGCCCTGCCCTAGGACTGGTTAAAAAAAAAAAAAAAAAGATAAAAAAGAAAAGAAGCAAAAAGGACTTAGCTTTTAGGTAGAGGTCTCTGTGAGTAATGAAGTATGAAGAACTCTGCTGTGACGCATGCTCATTAAGTAGTTGCCATTACAACACCACAGTGTCAAACACCATGCATGGCAAATACCATATTCTGGTGTTTTATCCACACCCAAGCCAGCAAGGCAGGGAAATTAGCAGATTCCAGTCCACAAAGCACCTGAGGACTGAGGAGGAAGTCCTCCCTCTGCTTCTTCTCCTGGCCCACCATGGCCAGGAGATTAGATTGTTGATAGAGGTACTGGCAGAAGCCATGGGGGAAATGTGGGGTGCAGGGTTGGTTGGTGTGTGGGTGTGCTGGTCCCAGGGCTTAAATAGCAGGGCCTGGGCATTGTCTATGAGCTTTTGTGCTCCAGGCTGGTGCTCTACCACTTGAGACTCAGCTCCACTTCTGGCTTTTTGGTGGTTAACTAGAGATAAGAGTGTCATGGACTTTTCTTCCCAGGCAGGCTTTGAACAGGGATCCTCAAATCTCAGCCTCCTGAGTAGTAGCTACGATGAACTTCAGGTGTCCAAGTGTTTCAGTCGCCTCTGGCTTCTGTCACAAACCTGTGACAGTGACACACCTTCAAGGAGCGCCGTGCCCTACAGGGCCTTCACATGCACCCTCAGCCCAGGCTTCTCTGAACACAATTCCCCGGTCTCCTACACTTCTGTCCTTCGCCTCTCTCAACCAGGATCTTTGCAGATGGCTGGAAATCTCCCCTCTAGCTGTGAGAACACTACAGGAATTCTCCTTTCCTCCCCCATCTTCTTCGCCCACCTTGAAAAACATGATCTTCCCTCCTCAGGCCTCAACCTGTACCTAACTATCCTAAGTCCAGGATGTGTTTTGGTCTTGGTGAGGCGGAATGAAGCATAGCTCCCAACCATGGGAGCCTGAAGGTGATCAGACTGTCCAATGGGCGCGGAGGGAGCGTCCTGGAATCCTGGGGGAAGAGGTGGGACCAGTAGCTTAGCAACCTGTGCCCACTCAGACCTGCCATACCCCGCCTACTCCACTCCTCTCCTTACCAGTTGTCATTGTTTGGCCCCTCCCTTCTCCCCTCAGCCGAAGGTGAGAAACCAATGGTTCACATAACGTTTGTTAAGCCTGCCACAGTTTTGTTTTGTTGTTTAAAGTTTCCATAAGTACAAAAAAAAATTAACTTAGGCGCAGTGGATCACCTCCTCTAGTTACTCTGGTGGCTGAGATCTGAGGATCACAGTTTGAAGCCAGCCTGAGCCAGGAAAGTCCACGAAACACTTATCTCCAAAAAAGCCAGCCGGGAAAAAAAAAAAAAAAAAGAAGCTGGAAATGGAGCTGTGGCTCAAGCAGTAGAGTTCTAGCCTAGAGCAAAAGCAGCTCAGGGACAGCGCCCGAGTGCCAGCCCCAGGACCAGCACCAAATAAATAAATGAATAAATCAGAACACTTAAAAACCCAGCATTCTTGTTTCTCTTGCAAAATCAGGACACCTGGCGATCGCCGGCCCACAGTCCTGTGCGGTGACCATCAGGCTTTACTGGTCAGCTGCCTCTTTCTGTGGGGCTTGTGAACGTTTCCCACCGCCACCTCTCACATCTGAACTATCATGAGGCCGCCCAGTGGGAGCTGAGGAACGCGAGGCTGGTTCCAGGCTGTCCTGTTCTAGGCTCCTTGGTGCCGACGGGCCTCCACGTGTGAAGGCAGGCAGGCAGGCAGGAAGGCAGGTGGACAGTGCCAAGCCCAAGTCCCTTTCCAGCCTCTCTCTGATCACGGTCCACTGCCAGCAGTATCCCCAGCACCTCGGGTGTCTGTCCTGGCTGTGGCCTGCGTCCATGGGTGGGTAGAGCGGGCATCCGCAAATTACAGCTGTTTCTTCAGGCCACGCCACACCCTGCTGGAGCCTGGCCCAAGGCCTGAGGTTCGCTCTTGAGCCTGAGCCGCAGTGTGGCCTATTGCTTCCCTACTGTCTAGCCGACTTAGCTGAACGAACACCAAGGTGTGGCAGCCTTGTCACAGTCCAATAGGATGTTGAGAACAGTGCAGGGGGCCCCGCCCACCGACAGGGCGGTGCGGGAGTCTACTCGGTACTTCACAGTGCTCAGGCCGCCTTCTCGGTCCACCTTGAATTGCTCCTGGAGAGGACGCGGAGGGCACGGGCTTAGGATGCACAGGCTGCCTGCTGTCCAGTCACCTCTCGTGACTCCTGTCACTGAAGGTACCGTGATCCCTCCCCCACGAACAGAGGAGAGCCCCAAAGCCCGGCAGATTCGTCTTCTGCCCGAGGCTGCACCCGGCTGGTGGGCAGGAGAGCAGGTGCTTCTGTGCACAGATCTCAGCCAAGTGCCCAGGGGAAGGACGGGGACCCTGCACCAGGTCTCACTGGGGTTCTCCCCACCCCCCCCCCGCCCGCAGCCTGCGTGGCCCCTGGGGGCCGGCACTGACCCACTCGGTGCCCAGAGTGCACACGGCAGCCACCACGAGCAGGCAGTGCCCATCCACTGACCTGGGCCCAGCTGGGCGGCCGGGGCCACGGCGGGGCCCAAGGAGGACTTGGTGACATGAGCTCCCCCACATCACCACCTAGGCAGCCCTGGTGAGGACGGCGGCCAGCACCTGTTTTTGAGCTGCGATGCGCTTCTGGTCCCTCTTCCGCCAGGCTGGGTCATGCAGATGGCGAAACGTCTTGTACCCAGTGGTGATTCCCGAGGGGCGGAAAAGCTAGGGACACCAAAGGAAGCGGTGGTCAGGCTGCTCCTCTTAGAGCCTCGGCCCCACCATGAGGCTCTCGTGAGGTCCCTCTGCCTGCCTGGAGGCCAAAGCGGGGGGCCTCTTAGAGGCCGATCCTAAGGAAGGGGAGCCTAAGGCCCAGGAGAGAAGACTGCAACCTGGGGTCAGGGGTGGAGTTAGAACCCGAGAGGAGGGCTGGGAAGGTGGCTCAGCGGTAGATCGCTTGCCTTGCATACATGAGGCCCTGGGTTCGATTCCTCAGCACCACATAAGCAGAAAAAAGCTGGAAGTGGCGCTGTGGGTTAAATGGTAGGGTGCTAGCCTTGAGCTGAAGAGCTGAGGGACAGCACCCAGGCCCAGAGTTCAGGCCCCACGACCGACAAAAAAAAAAGTAACCAGAGAGGATGCTGCCAAACCCCAACTTCGCAGGGGTGGCAGCGCCCTGGGACAAGCCTTACCTGAAGCCCGGCTCCTTTGATGCGCCTGTAGAATTCGTCATCCTCGCGGCCCCAGCCCCAGAAGCGGTTGGACATACCGTTACACTGATAGAGACAGACAGGCAGCGTCTGTCACGCACCCGCTCCACTCACAAGAACGCAGCGTGTGTGGGACAAGCCAGGCTGCCCTTCCCCCCCCTTCCCTACCTCCCCCCCCCCCCCCAGCTGTTCCCAGTGAACACCAGGTCCTTGCAGGTCTGGGGAACTTTAAACTTGGGACAATTAGGATCTCAAAAATGCCCGTAACCTACACCTGTCATCCTAGCTGCTCAGGAGGCTGAGATCTGAGGTCCCCAGTTCAAAGCCAGCCCTAGGCAGGAAAGTCTGGGACACTCTTATCTCTAATAAACCACACAAAGCCCAAAGTGGAACTGAGGCTCAAGTGATAGAGCACTAGTGTGAAACACAAAGGCTCCAGGACAGTGCCCAGGCCCTGAGTTCAAGCCCTAGGAACAGCACAATAAAAAAAAATCTGTGACTGGCCACAGGGACCTCCTTTGGAGCTGGGGAGCAAAAGCACTCATGGACACTACTATCTGCCCTCCTCTCTGCTTTCATTCATGCTAAAAGTGGCTCTGCCCTGGGCTCTCCTGTATGAGTGTGAGAGGGCCGCATGGGTTCTGGGATAATTTCTGCTTTTGCATGTGCCTCAATGGCTTTTATTTATAAAGGAGCTTCAGCCTCTACACAGTAGTAGAGTAGGAGCTCTGGACCTAAACCACATCATGCCTTGAAGCTCCAGTGACTGTCTTAGGGGGCTTGGTTCTGGGGCTTCTCTATGGACTTGTTGGGGAAGGAAGGCTCCATCTTCCCCAGGACTGGGACTGGGTTATTCAGGCTGGAGTTATGATGACCTCTTTGCAGAACGGTACGTCTGAAAATCAACCTAACAAGGGTAAAGCAGAGCTGAGAGATGGAAAGAGAAATGGGGATCCTGGGGACAATGCCGAGAGCCAGGCGAGGTGCACCTGAGGCCATGCCTTCCTCCCCCCTTCCACACTGAAATCTTTTCCCTGTGTGCCAGTCCTGGAACTTGAACTCAAGGACCTGTGCGCTGTCTGCCAGCTTTTGCTCAAGGCTAGCGCTCTACCACTTGAACCACAGCTCCACTTCCAGCTTTTGGGGGCTTAGTAGGGGACAGAGTCTCACAGGACTTTCCTGCCTGGGCAGGCTCTGAACCACGATCCTCAGATGTCAGCCTCCTGAGTAGCTGGGATTACAGGCGTGAGTCATGGGCGTCCGGCTCACATCCCATTCTGCAGCTTGTGGGCTGCGGACCTGCTCCGTCCTGTTCCTCGCCCTTGTTTCTGTATTCCACTGGCAGGGTGGAACTACATCTGCAGGGAATCTGAACGGGCTGCTGTCCTACCAGCTGTCTTCCCCGGGTCTGGGGAGCAGCCTGCTCTGAGCAGCACATGGCGGGGCATGGGGTGCGGGGCCCGGGGCATGCCAGGCCTCACCAGCTGGTAATGCTGTTTGGAAAGCAGGAGGATGCCCCCCACGTAGGTCTTGTAGTGGTAGAGCGGGTGGAGCTCCGGGGAGGCCACGTGAAAGGGGCCGGCCTCGGGGAAGCCATAGTCCAACTCCTCGTTGAGAGGGAGCAGGTCCACGTCGTGCATGGCAATGTAGTCAGTACTGTTGCTGCTCTCCAGGAAGCCCACGTTGATGAGCGCCGCCCGGTTGAACCTGTACAGGGTGGGTGAGGCTCAGGAGGCAGGGGTGGCAAATCTGTTCACCACTAGGGTGTGCCCAAAGCCCTACATGATTGCTTGAGGGAGAAATGGGGGGGGGGGGGGGGCGGTAGCCCATGCCCAGTAATCCTAGCTACTCAGGACGCTGAGATCTGAGGATCGTGGCTCAAAGCCAGCCCAGGCAAGAAAGTCCATGACACTCTTATCTCCAATAAACTATCAGAAAACTGGAAGTGGTGCTGTGGCTCAAGTGGTAGAGCTCTTGCTTTGAGCTGAAATGCTCAGGGACAGCATCCAGGTCCAGAGTTCTAGTCCCACAACCGACCAAAAATAAATCTTTCTAGGATGGAAAGTAGATCAGAGCCCACCCCAAGGACAAGATTCATACCACCACCATCTCCCCATCTTCCCCTGCCAAGGGCCTGGCTCTGGGCGCTGAGGGCCAGCACGGAGCATGGTCCCTACCGGAGGTGATCCACCTGGTTGAGCACGTAGATGTGGTGCTGGATCTTCTTCCGGCTCAGGAAGCGATGCATGTGGGGCACAAACACCAGCAGCTCCTCGAAGCGTTCGCGGAAAGGCACCAGCACGGCCAGGCGGTGGGGACCCCAGGATGCATCTTCTTCCCAGTGCTCAGGGGGTGGCTCTGGGGGGCAGGCCCGGGGTGGCCCGGGGGTCTCCTGGCCTCCTTGTCCCTTGGCCGGCTGGGCCACATCACCAGAGCAGCTGAGCTGTAGCCAGAGCAGGGAGAAGAAGCCCAGGAAAAGACAGGCAACGAAGAGGTGGAAGACAGAGCATTTCCGGGGAAATCCACCAGGAAGCAGCCTGGACCTGGGATGAGGCAGGGATGGGGTCAGAAGGCTATGGCCGAGTGGGGGCTTCTGACTCATCTCCTCTCCAGCCCCGCACCCCCAACAGCATGACGAGGCCGCTGCCCCAAGCACCTGGTAATTAGTGCACAGCAACTTGTTTTCTCTCACGCTACCACCATCTGTTCGACTCCTGCTTGCACCCCTCTCCCTCCCTCCCTCCCTCTTTCTTCTGGTGCCAATCCTGGGGGCTTGAAGCCAGGGCCTGAGCATTGTCCCTGAGTTTTTTTTGCTCAAGGCTAGCATTTTACCACTTCAGTCATAACTCCATTTCTGGCTTTTTGGTGGTTAACTGGTGATAAACAGTCTCACAGACTTCCCTGCTGGCTTTGAACCACGATCCTCAGGTCTCAGCCTCCTGAGTAGCTAGGATGATCAGCGTGAGCCACCGGCACCTGGCTGAGGCTGTTTTACTTGTGTGTGTGAATCCTGCTCAGACAATGAGCTGCTCAGAGCGGCAGGTCAGGGCCTCTTGCCTCTTGTACGTGCCCCTCCTTGAAACTGGGGCTCAGTGTCCTGAGCCAATGGCAGGAGCCCCACTCTACAGAAATGCCACCCACTGCCTTCCTGACTTGCACCCCAAGAGGCTGACCCATGCAGCATCCTTGGCTTCATTCTCTTCTTGGGGTAACTAGAAAATCCCTTCAAGATAGGGGTGAGTGCTACCATGAGTTCCAGGTGAAACCACCCATGTTCAATCTGGGGAGCTCGGGTCTGCTCCCAGATCAACGCCAAGCCCAAACAAACAGTGGCTGTTTACTGGGTTGTCTCAAACCTCCGTCCCAGAGGTAGCCCATGAAACCTGGGTTGAGAGACAGAAGAGGAGGCAGGGAAAAAGACACAAGTACAGGGTGTAGCAGCCAGGCTCACTTCAGAAACTAGACAAACCACTGAATGCCTTATACATTGGGGCAATGCTCAGAGATGCACTGACTGCTCTTTAGGCTACCAAGTATGAGAAACAGGTTTATAAGCCAGGCCTGGTGGTACATGCTTATGATCACAACACTTTAGAAGCTAAGGTAAGAAGATTGAGTGTTTGAAGATAGCCTGAGCTACACGGCAGTGGTGGCGGCAGCAGCAGCAGCAGAAGAGGAAGAAGAGGAAGAGGAAGAGAAGAAGAAAAAAAAGAAGAAGAAGAAGAGGAGCAGGAGGAGGAGGAGCAGCAGGAGGAGGAGGAGGAGGAGGAGGAAGAAAAAGAAGAAGAAACAAGTGGAGTGCTAGTGGCTCATGCCTGTCATCCTAGCTATTGAGGAGGCTGAGAGCTAAGAATTATAGTTCAAAGCCAGGAAAATCCACTGGATTTTTTTTTTTTTTTTTTTTTTTGGTCCGTAGTGGGGCTTGAACTCTGGGCTTGGGCGCTGTCCCTCAGCTCTTCAGCTCAAGGTGCTCACACCTGTAATCCTAGCTACTCAGGAGACTGAGATGTAAGGCTCAAGGTTCAAAGCCAGCCTGGGCAGGAAAGTCTGAGACTCTTATCTCCAATAAACCACTCAGAAAACAAGAAGTGGCGCTGTGGCTCAAGTGGTAGAGCGCTTGCCTTGAGCTGAAGAGCTGAGGGACAGCGCCCAGGCCGAGTTCAAACCCCATGACTGACAAGAAAAAAAAAAAAGCTTCCTCTATAATAATCAAAAGAAAGCATCAACTTTACAGCCTCCAAGAGTCTGAGATTTGCTACCAGGTCTTATAGACCCCTCTTCCTAAGTCCCCAAGTGATCTCCACTCACCTGGTCCTTGCCCTACTCTGACCGCTTCAATATTACAGATGATCCTCCTCCCTCTACAAGATGGAAAGCCAGACTCCAGGTCCTAACAGTTAAAGGCCCTCCCTGTCTGGGTCCAATCCATCCCTTCCCACCACCATTCCCCTCGCCCTGGGTGACCAGGACCTCTCCCCTCCCACACGCCTCCCCCTGGTAGCCCTTCCTCACCCAGATTGTTCCACCCGCCTGACACGCCCTGCTTTATTCTACTTGCCTCAAAGTTCCCTGCTGATCCTTCACAGCCAAACACCAAAGCCACAGCTACAGTTCCCCCTCCTGGAATCTTCTCACCACATTTCCTCCTTTGCGTTTCTAAGTCATCTGGCACTTCCTCCCTAAAACCCTTCCTTGGGATGACCCATGGTGACCCTGCCTGTTAGACCGTGTCCGACTCCTATTTGTGGCCCCAGCCCAGGTCAGACAAGGCAGGGGCTTGTAGTCAGTGGGAAGAAGGGTTAAAGCAGGCAAGGCATGCTTCAAGCCACACACTAAAGCCAGATCAGTGCCTACACTTTGCTCTAGAGATACAACTGCCAAGTGAGAAGCCAGCAGCCCTGAAGCCAGGCCCGGGTTTCCACACACAGCTGAGAGGTGAGGACACCCTTGAAGGGCTTCTGACTTACCCCCTACTGTCCTGTGGTGGTGGCTTCCGCTGAGGAATGGCGGAGCCCAGCTCTGCGAGTGGCCTGGGAAGGCTGGGACCTCTACAGAGTCTCTCTTGAGCTCTGGGTACTTTCTGGGGGCGGAGTAGAGACTGGGACAATGGACCCGGGGTCACATCCCTCCTTTAGGGGAAGAAGCAGTGCATTATCTAGGTGGTGGATAACCAAGGACTATCCAGTCCATGCTCTTCCCCATGCTGTTCCTTCCATCCCATTTGCCCTTCCTACCAGTGTGTATCTCCATGTACACGCTCACTCTGTGCTCTCTCTAACGGCCCAGACTACTAAGTCTCAAATGTTCTGGACAACAGACACAGACAACAACTGTTCTTGGTTCTACCTGGTGGCAAGTTCCAGACTGCAGTACCAGCTGCTCCCAAAATCCCTGGCTACTCTGGCTCAGTGGGGGCAATCTAGAAGCCTTTCTGGCCTTCATCAACCACAGCCCAAGGCTAGTAAGAAGCAGCTTCAAACCCAAGCAGGCAATAATCAAATACAACACTAGCCTGCACTTACTGCATGGATCTTTGTATTCCTATGTGAAAACCACAGATGGATAACAGGACCTTTTTTTTTTTTGGTCTGTCATGGGGCTTGAACTCTGGGCCTGGGCGCTGTCTCTGAGCTCTTCAGCTCAAGGCTAGCACTCCACCACTTGAACTACAGCACCACTTCTGGTTTTCTGGTGGTTGACTGGAGATAAGAATCTCATGATCTTTCCTGTTGGGGCTTGCTTTGAACCTCAATCCTCAGATCTAACCTTCCTGAGTAGCTAGGATGGCAGGACATTCTTTTCTGAGAATCCAGTTACCTTATCTGGGCCAGGCACAGTGCCAAAGATCTTAGTATAGGATCTCCTGTTATCTCCAAATACCCCTTTGGGTAGTCTAAGTCCCATTTCAGAGATGGAAGACTGAGGTCAGAACATTAAGTGATCTGTTTCCAGTTACCTGGCTATTAAACAGGACTCTTGTACAGGCCTGACTCCATTTCTATAGACCATACAGTCTAATATATTTCTACCTTCCTTTTTTTTTTAAGCTCTACAACTTAAGCCACACCTGCACTTCCAGCTTCTTGCTGGTTACTTGGAGATAAGAGTCTTTAAGAAAGCCGGGCGCTGGTGGCTCACGCCTGTAATCCTAGCTACTCAGGAGGCTGAGATCTGAGGATCGCGGTTCAAAGCCAGCCCGGGCAGGAGAGACCGTGAGACTCCTATCTCCAATAAACCACTAGAAAACCGGAAGTGGTGCTGTAGCGCAAGTGGTAGAGTGCTCGCCTTGAGCTGAAGAGCTGAGGGACAGCACCCAGCACCCAGGCCCAGAGTTCAGGCCCCACAGCCGACAAAAAAAAAAAAAAAAAGAGTCTCTAAGATTTGTCAGCTCCTCCTAGCTCCAAACCAACAATTCTTAGATCCCAGCCTCCTGAATAGCTAGGATTATAGGCATGAGCCACTAGAGATATTTGTCTTTGCATTTCCACATCATCTGAAAAAAAACACTCTAAAAGAAAGAACTATCCCTTAAGAGGTTTGACCAACGTAAGAGATAAAAAGAATGATGTGTCACTCACTGGGTTAAAGAACCACTATCATGTGGCCTGTAGGTAGCATTTGGGCCCTGCAAATCTCTCAGACCTCAAGGGTGGCTGTCCTCCCAAATCTAGTCATGAGGGGCTGAGGGTTTAGCTTAGCGGAAAGGCGCCCACCTGGCTAGCGCAAGGCCCTGGGTTCAGTCCTCAGCTCTGGGGAAAACAAAAAGCTATAAAGACCAAATCTAGTCATGAAAATAACTTTTCTTTTGCATGTGTGCCAGTGCTGAGGGCTTGAACTCAGGGCCCGGGCACTCTCAGGTTTCTTCGCTCAAGGCTGGTGCACTACCACTCGAACCACAGCTCCACTTCCAGCTATTTGCTGGTTAATTGGAGATCAGCGTCTCCCTGGTTTTCCTGCCCGAGCTGGCTTCGAACCCTGATCCTCAGATGTCAGCCTCGTGAGTGGCTAGGATTACTGGCCTGAGCCACCAGCACTGGCTTTTGCTCATCCTTCTCTAGAAAAAAAAAAAAAATCCTTACCTCAAGGCTGGCTCACTCCTAACCCACGCAGCAGGCCCCTTAGGAAATGAACTAATGGGTGTTTATGGAGGGCGGGGTACAAGCCAGACTGGTGGCTGAGCAGACAGAGCATAGGGAAACTTCGGTCGGGTGGTGTGTTTTTCTGGGTCAGAGGCAAACTACGGAGAAGCATACTCTAAGGAAAAAGGTATAGGGTTCGAGGACGCCTGGTTGTGCCGCGGGGCCGGGAGAACTGAGCCCAGAGGGAATGAAGACCCTCAGAGGTTTAGCGATTGCAAGACTGAGATGCCCGGCAAGGAGTCCGAGCCCTGATGGGGGGGGGGGGGGGGGGGGGGAGGAGAAAAATAGACGCAAGAAATCAAAATAAAAAGACAGTCGTGTGAGGCACAGAGACACAAAAGGAGGTCCGGGGGGGGGGGGACGGGAGGGGTGACACCGGTGGAGACCGACGGCTGAGTCCCCACAGAGCGCCCGGGCCCGACCCGGGCCCGCAGAGACGGCGCCGCGGGCCGCGCCCTGCGCGGGGCGGCCCGGAGAGGAGCGGGCCCGGGCCCGGCCGCCGCCGCCGCTCACCTGCCGTCCTCCCAGGGCAGCTGCGCCGCTTTCCTCCGCGACGGGAACATGGTGAGGGCGTCGGCGGCGGCGCATGGGGCCCGAGCTGCAGCCCGCCGGGGCCCGGCCTCCGGGGCCTACGCGGCGTCCCCGCCTCCAGCCCCGCCCTCCGGTCCGGCGGCCTCTGGGGTCCGCCCTCCGGGTCCCGCGGTCCTCCAGGTCCGGCCGCGCCGCGCAGCCGCCGGCGCCAAGGTTCCGCGTGCGGAGGGACACGTGGGCGCTTCCGCCGCGGCGGCGCTGCGTTCCCACGGCCTCCGGGAGTCGCGGCGGGGCCGGATGTGGACTCACAGCCCGCGGGGACAAGGGCATCCCTCTCCCCGTCCGGGAGTCGCGGCCTCCCCGCCGTCGGCACCAGCGGTGTATTTCTCCTCCACGGTCCATCTGGAGGGCCAAGGCCCACCCGGCTCTGAGCCAGTGTTGGGGGGTCCGTGGGCTCCCCTCCACCCACATCGGTTAGGAGCCCCGGTTCTTCAGATGGGTTAGGTTTGATATCCGTGTCTACAGTCGGATTGAGGGTTGGGGAGCAGAGTCATGACCTGTGATCGGGCCCTCGATTAGGATCATAGGAGAAAATGCCGCCAGCGCCCAACCCGTTCAACACTATGTAAATGTGGGCACATCTTGGGAATAGGGAGATGAAAACCAAATGGGAATGGGTGGCTTTTCCCTCTGTGCCCTCTCATCTTGCTGTCCCTCCGGCCAGCCTTCCACCTGGGCAAAGTGGCTTGTTATTTTTGCTCTTTCAGGCCAAGTTCTAGTTTCTGAACAAACATCTGACATCTCTAAGTTCCACTCTGTGCCAGTCATTATGCTAAATTCCTTAATACTGGTTATTTTTTTTTCCCCAAATGAGTGAACTGAGGTTCTCAGTGGTCAATCTATCCCACTAATTTTCCCTTTAAACTCTGAGGTTTGCACTCCTCCATCCAGTTGATTCTTTGGTGTAGGCCACACCACACACCAAAATTTAGCTCATCCAGCCGACCACCTGCCAAGTCCACTCAGGAAAGGCTAAGAATGGAAGCTGGGATGTGAGACCACGTGACATGGAGAGCTGAAGCCACCTAAAGGGGACAGCCCTTTAGATAAACGTCCCAATGGTGTCAGATCTTACTATCATAAGAAACCATTTCACATAAAAATCCAAATCAACTCATTTTGAAATGTAGCATCTGATAGGGCGCTGGTGGCTCACACCTATAATCCTAGCTATTCAGGAGGCCCAGATCGGAGGATCATGGTTCAAAACCAGCCCAGGCAGGAAAGTCCATGAGACTTTATCATCAATTAGCCACCGAAAAAGCCAAAAGTGGAGCTGTGACTCAAGCGGTAGAGCATTAACCTTGGGCAACAAACCTCAAAGCCCTGAGTTCAAGCCCCAGACCAACACCAAAAGAAAATCTGTCCATGGGCTGGGAAGGTGGCTCAGTGGTAGAGCGCTTGCCTTGCATGCCTGAGGCCCTGGGTTCGATTCCTCAGCACCACATAAGCAAAAAAAAACCAAACAGAAAATCTGTCCATGCCCATACAAGCAGTTTGCCTCCTCTCCCAACCACTTATGGCCTGGCTTCCCCTTTCCTCAGAATCCTTCCCCCTTAATGGTCCTCAGAGAAATCACTTTCAATTAAAGACATTAATATGCTTGTCTCTACCAGCCCAGGAACTTGCTTTCCACATCTGTAGAACTCCTCCTCTCTGGAATGCCAACCACTTTTGCAACACCCATGAAAATTTTGCCCAGCTACTCTGGAAAAGGAGAGCACTTCACAGGGAGTTGACAGAGAAGACCAGAGTTGTTTTGTTGGTTTTTTTTGTCGGTTGTAGGGCTTGAACTCTGGGCTTGGGCGCTGTCCTTGTGCTCTTCAGTTCAAGGTGAGCACTCTACCGCTTGAGCCACAGCACCACTTCCAATTTTCTAGCGGTTTATTGGAGATAAGAGTCTCACGAACTTTTCTGCCCAGGCTGGCTTTGAACTGAGATCCTCAGATCTCAGTCTCCTGAGTAGCTAGGATTACAGGCGTGAGCCACCGGCGCCTGGCTAAGACCAGAGTTGACTTGAGTCCTCACCTCACAATTTGCTTGCTGGATGGCGTGAAACAAATTCACTACCCCCTGCTATAAGAAGGCATTGAGAGCCGGGTGCCAGTGGCACACGTCTATAATCCTAGCTACTCAGGAGACTGAGATCTGAAGATGAAGGTTCACAACCAGTCCCCGGGCAGGGCTGTGAGACTCTACTCTCCAATTAACTAACAGAAAACTGGAAATGGCACTGTGGTTTGAGCTGAAGAGATCAGGGACAGAGCCGAGGCCCAAAGCTCAAGCCCTACGACTGACCAAAAAAAGAAAAAGAATAAGAAATCACTGAGAAGATGCAGGGGTGCAATTCCTAGGTGGAGATCTTCGGTGGAATGTCAACTATTTTGCCCACTGGAAGAACTGACATTCTCTGAAGTACCATACAGTGTCATGCCCACTGGAGAGTAACTGCACAAATCAATTTTTTCTTTTTAATTGGGAAACCAATGTAACAAACTCATTGAAAATGAAATCAGTAACTAAGACTGCAGGCCCCATCCCCAGCCAGCACCAAGGCCTCTGTTTGGCCTGACACCAATTCCTCAAGCCCCAGAAAGACAACCATATCAGGAAACCAGGGTCAACCTTGGGGCTGCTTCTCTGTACTGCCACCCCCTTCACCCTCCCCTCCCCTGACACCCTGGATCAGCAGGCAGGGTCTAGGCCAAAGGAAAGAAGAGCAAGGTTCTTAGGGCTGCGAAGAATCACAGCCACATACCACCCTGCTTGAAATACCATATTAGCACAGGAAGACCGAAGGAAGATTGGCTTGCTCACCCACCCGCTCCCCCCGCCCCCCAAAATCCACCCCAGACAGAAGGCAGCCTTACATCCCTTAATCAGCAACAGTGAGATTCTAAGGTGCCAATGGGGCTCCTAGTGGTGTCACCAACCCAAGAGATTACTGCAAAAGGTTCAGAGGCTGGAGGGGGAGGGCTGGTGCTTGCCCACCCCCTGCTCAGCCACTGTTCTCAAGCTTGTGCCTGGGGGTCCTCGCAGCCCCTCTCCCCTTCAGATCGTCCGTGGCTGAGAAGCAGTCCTCCCTCCAGAGAAGTGATCAGTTCCAGGAGGGCCTTTTTCTCCCAAGCCTAGGAAGGAAGGTGGTCTGTGAGGCCTGGGACGGCTACACCAGCTTCTTGGCTTCAAAGAAGCTCTTGAGGTGCCGCATCTGCCAGACGCCAATGGCCACCAGGATGAGGGTCTGCAGAATGGACCACCACAGCACCCGCTGGTTTGTGCTCTCGCTGGTTTGCCGGAAGCGCTCTTCTCGCCACTGTGGGGGAGAAGGGAGAGCGAGGGTGAGCTGGATGGGACTCAGGCTGCTGGGCTCCCAATCACCAGGATGCCCCAGCCCTGGCACGCTGCTCTGCCACGGATTCCAGCCAAGTGCCCGCAAAGACTACTGGGGAATGGCCAGATGACTGCAGGCAACCTGATGATCTCTCCCAAGTCTGTTTCCTCATGTGTCAGGTAAAGCCTTCACCCAGGCCTCCCCGATGTCTGGCGGGGATAAGGTAGCGGTGGAATCACCACTGGACAGCCATTCCATGGAGCACTCAGGAGCAGGCTGACATTTAGCCCTCTGTCCACATCTCTCCTAAGATAATTGGAACTGGTTACCATATGGTGGCTTAGAGCCTTATTTTTTTTTTTTGGGGGGGGGGGGGGAGGTCAGACTTGGGGCTTGAACTCCAGGCCTGGGCGCTGTCACTCAGCTCTTCAGCTCAAGGCGAGCTACACGCCACTTCCTGTTTTCTAGTGGTTTATTGGAGATAAGAGTCTCATAGACTTTCCTGCCTAGGCTGGCTTTGAGCTACGATCCTCAGATCTTAGCCACCTGAGTAACTAGGATGACAGGCGTGAGCCACCAGCGCCTGGCTTGGAGCCTTACTTTTACCTCTAACTCTTCTTGCAAAGAAAGTAGAGGAAAGCTGGGCACCAGTGGCTCACACCTATCATCCTAGCTACTCAGGTGGCTGAGATCTGAGGATCACGGTTCAAAGCCAGCCCAGGCAGGAAGGTCCGTGAGACTCTTATCTCCAATAAACCACTAGAAAACTGGAAGTGGCACTGTGGCTCAAGTAGTAGAACGCTTGCCTTGAGCTGAAGAGCTGAGGGATAGCGCCCAGGCCCAGAGTTCAAGCCCCACGACCGACAAAAAAAAAAAGAAAAACGAAAGTAGAGGAGCTGAAAACCCAGGGCTGACACTGAGCAGTAGCTCTTCCTATGTAGGAGGGTCACTACCCAGAACGCTTGAATTGACACCCATGGTGCTGGTATCAACCACTGGACTTAGTAATTCCCACCCCACCTGCAATGCAGCATAAGTAAGCCACCCGAGTGTCTAGAAAATGAACAAGGCACCTCCTGGCTGACCTCGCCGGAGCACTCACCCGCTGATAGTTCTGCTCTTTTTGGATCTGCTCCACCTGTTCCACCAGCTGTCGCACTCGTAGCTGTAACTCACTCAGCTTGTCTTTAGCAGCAATTTCTGCATAGTCGTTGGCATGCTCGCCCACCTGGATGTCCAGGTGAACTCTCTGGGGACAGACAAAAGGAGTCATGGGAATCAGGTAGCCCTGATCCATCGCCCTACTACAGACTGACAAAGAACCTCTCCACTTCCCTTCATGTGCTCATCCAGGCAATAGATTGAGGCCTCCTCAGTATCCAGCACTATGGGGCTCTAGGCAAATAAGAGGGGACAACAAGCCTGGCTGATATTCTGCCTGATGCACATACACCGTTCTCCAGTCTGTGGGTTCCACACCTAACACACTCACACAACTTCATACATATGTGTACACACACGTATACATGTATATTCACACATATGCGTTGTTTTGTTTTGGTTTTTTGTTAGTCCTGAGGCTTGAACCCAGGGCCTGGGCACTGTCTCTGAGCTTCTTTTGCTCAAGGCCAGCACTCTACCACAAGAGCCACAGTGCCACTTCTGGTTTTTTCTTTTTTTGGTCCAGTTGTGGGGCCTGAACTCTGGGCCTGGGCGCTGTCCCTCAGCTCTTCAGCTCAAGGCTAGCACTCTACCACTTGAGCCACAGCGCCACTTCCGGCTTTTTTCTTTTTGCTTATGTGGTGCTGAGGAATCGAACCCAGGGCCTCATGCATGCAAGGCAAGCACTCTACCACTGAGCCACCTTCCCAGCCCTCTGGCTTTTTCTTCTGTGTATGTGGTACTGAAGAATTGAATCCAGGGCTTCACGCATGCTAGGCAAGCACTCTACCACTAAGCCACATTCCCAGCCTGCACATGCATTTATATGTAAAGCCCTATATCTGTACTGAACATATACAGATAATTTCTGGTTGTCTTTCCCTAAACACTACTTTACAACTACTTACACAGTATTTACCAGTTGTTAAGATTATAAAACATCTACAGATGACTTGGAATGAATTAATTATATGAGGAATCAGTCATCCTGGAAAGCCAGCGGTCTTAGAAGACACGACCATTTACCTCATACCAGAGGAACAACAGTCTCCAGTCCTGACCTGGAGAGAGGTCAAAGGCTTCAAGTTTCACACGGGTCCACTTACCAGCATGCCTCCAGCGAAGAGGGAGAACTTGGTGGAATTGGAGTGAAGACAGATCTGGTGCTCACCAGGGGTGTGGGAGGTGAAGGTGAACCTGCCCTCAGAGCCATATTGCCGGGCCAGGATGACCTGGAGACAGGAGAGAGGCCTCACTCAATGTTACTGGGGGATGCTTAAGTCTCTAAGTACCACGGAAGTTGACAGAAGAGCCTTAGGTACCTCACAACACTAAAAGAAGATACCCAGCAAAAAAAAATGGCTAATGCTTAGTGAAAACTATCAGGAGCTCTTGAAGCTGACAAGAGACCACTCTTGGGAAGAAAGACTTTCAATTTTTTTGATGTGAGTTGTTTTAAGAAATGAAATGGGCAGGGGCTAGGAAGGTGGCTCAGTGGTAGAGTACTTGTCTTGCATGCCTGAGGCCCTGGATTCGATTCCTCAGCACCACATAAGCAAAAAGAAAAAAGGCGGAAGTGGCGCTGTGGCTCAAGTGGTAGAGCGCTAGCCTTGAGCTGAAGAGCTGAGGTACAGCGCCCAGGCCCAGAGTTCAGGCCCCACCACCAGACCCAAAAAAAAAAAAAAAAAAAAAAACAAAGAAATGAAATGGGCACTGGTGGCTCACGCCTGTCATCCTAGCTACTCAGGAGGCCCGAGACATGAGGATCGAGGTTCTAAAGCCAGCTGGGGTAGGGAAATCAAGTGACCCTCTTCTGTCCCACCAGCAGAAAGCTGGTAGGGGAAGTCTTGCCTTGAGGGGTAGAGCTCCAACCATTGATGGAAAAAAAAAAGGTGACAGGTGACAGCAAAGGCTGGGTTTTGTTTTTTTATTTTTCTTTTCCTATCCTTATCTGTCAAAATGAAAAAAGCTGCTCATCCTTCCCGGAAAGCAGTGGGACCCGCCACAGCTTTCCAGGTCTCCCATCTCCAGGAATCCACCCATCCCATCACACGTAAATACCCAGGGATACGGCTTAGGTGGAAGTAACTGCCTCCTCCTCCTCCTCGTCGTGCCCTGGCCCCTCGTCCACCCCCCAGAAGTGGTGGGAGGCCGGGAGGAGCCTCGTCCACACAAGTTGGGGGGGGGGGGGCCTGCACTGGAAATCCCGGCATCTTCCCACACCACCCACTGACGGGGTGTCTGGCACTTCCGCACGCACGGCGGAAGTAGCGGGGCCGGCTGGCTGGCTGGCCGGCGGGGCCGGGCTCACCTTGTCCTCGGGGTCCTTCACCTCCACGAACATGCCGAGCCCCGGGGTGGCCGGCTGGTACTCCTCGCGCTGCTTGTCGTACAGCTGCGTCCGGTAGTTCCCTGGGGCGAGGCCGGGGCGGAGCTCCGATCAGAAGGAGCTGCGGGGTGCGCGGCGGACGGACACGGCACCGAGAGACCCGATCGTCCCGGGTCCCCCCCCCCCCGAGCCGCCAGCCCTCCCCCCGGGCCCTCCCGCCCACCCACCCCCCGATCCCGTCCCCAACTCTGCCCGTCGCCCGCGCACCGATGACCATGGTCTCGTCCGGAATCTCCTCGATAAAGCACTTCTTCTCCGTCTCCCCGATGTGGAAGTACAGTGCGTTGCCGCGGGTGGCAAACCAGAGCAGCAGCGTCAGGGCCCGCATCAGTTTCCCCAGCCCGGTGCCCGGTCGGATCCCGACGACCCGCACGCCTTCCTCGGCAGCCATCTTGCCCCGCCGCCTCCTACCCCCGCGCATGCGCAGCCGGCCGAGCCACGTCGCCCAGTCGCCGCCGCCGCCGCCGCCGCCGCCGCCGCTGTGTCTGCCGGGAACACGAGTTCTACTTGGTGGACTACAAATCCCAGGATGCCCCCGCGGCCACCGCGCGTCAGTACCTGATTGGGGCCCGGCTTCTCCCTGGCACCAAATTGGGGGCCGTCGAAATGGGAAGTGTCTTTCCTTTGTTAAGCTTAGCGGGCCGCTTGAGGGTGGGTTGCCAGATAGGGAAACTGAGGCAGATCGTTTCAGGTGGCAGAAGTAACCTGGACATGTCTCCGAGGAGCATCTCCCATTGATGGTGTAGCCGGGTTTCCCTGTTGGCGGGATCTGTGTGGCTGAGGCCGGGGCCTTGTCACTGAGCCACACCTACTGCTGGGTTGTTGTTGTTTTGGCTGTTTTGCAGATAAGAATCTAGCTCCTTTCTGGGACACCCGGTGGTCCTGTTTTTCTGCTTCCCAGTGTAGCCGGGGTGACACCACACCCAGGTGGCTTGGCTGCGAGGGAGTCTAGTGGATTTTTTTTTTTTTTTTTTTTTTTGCTGCCCAGGCTGGCCTCAAAACAAGATCCTCTCAATCTCAGTCTCCTAAGTAGCTAGGATAACACGTGAACCACCAACAACTGGGCAGCAGGCAGTTAAAAACAAACAAACAAAAAACAACAACCCAACCCTTTAATAACTGTGTGGCATAGATTCAAAAAGCCAAGGCTTTCCTTCACCATTTAATGATTTTCAACCCCCCCCCCCCAGCCCCCCCTTTGCCCCCCTCCCATGCTCTTGCAAATCCATTTTCTCCCTGGCATGCAGGGCTACCTCCCACACAGACATCAGCATGCACTCTGCTCCAGCCCTAGTGGTTTGTTTCTGACCGATGTCCAGTACCCCGATGGCTACATCCCAAACAAGTTCGGAGCTTTGACAGGTGGTCACCCGGAGATTTGGAGAACTCAGCATTTGCATGGAATCAGCAGGAGTCTGGGTCTGCCTCTCTTCTCCTTCCTGGATTTAATTAATTTAATTAAATCCTTCCTGGATTTAATTCAAATTGCAAGGCGCTTGGGTCGTTTGCCTAAGTTAGTGCTTTATGGTTATGACCATAAAGGAAGGAGACTTAGGGCTGGGAATGCGGCTTAGTGGTAGAGTGCTTGCCTAACATGAATGAAGCCCTGAGTTCAATTCCTCAGTACCATATAAACAGAAAAAGCCAGAAATGGTGCTGTGGCTCAATTGGTAGAGTGCTAGCATTGAGGAGAAAAAGGCTCAGGGACAGAGCCCAGGCCCTGAGTTCAAGGCCCAGGACTGGCAAAAAGAAAGAAAGAAAGAAAGAAAGAAAGAAAGAAAGAAAGAAAGAAAGAAAGAAAGAGAGAGAGAGAGAGAAATGAGACTTAGGGGTTGGAGGTGTGGCTCAGTTGGTAGAGCACTAACCAATGAGTAAAATCAGTAGGTACTGAGTTCGAGTCCTGTCTTGGAGTTAAAAAAAAAGAAAAAAAAGAAAAAAGGAGATGGAGGAGGCTCTTTCCTCCTCTTCCTCCTCCTCCTCCTCCTCCTCCACCTCTTCTTCTTCTTCTTCTTCTTCTTCTTCTTCTTCTTCTTCTTCTTCTTCTTCTTCTTCTTCTTCTTCTTCTTCTTCTTCATTTTTGGACTTCTTTGTTTTCATTTGGTCCTAAGGTGGGAAATTTAATAGAAATTTCTTACGTTGTCCTTCAACAGAAAAACTTTACCTCATTTTTGTTTGTTTGTGTGTGTGTGTGTGTGTGTGTGTGTTTCTGGGGCTTGAACTAAGGGGCCTGGGCACTGTCTTTGAGCTTTTCTGCTCAAAGCTGGCACACTTCCACTTGAGCTACAGCACCACTTCTGGCTTTTGTGGTGTTGAATTAGACTAAGTCTCATAGATTCTCCTGCCCGGGCTGGCTTCAGACTCCTGAGTAGCTAGGATTATAGGCATGAGTCATAGGAACCCTTCTACCTAGGTTTGTTGTTGTTGTTGGTTGTGTGGCTTGAACTATGGATCTGGGCGCTAACCCTTAGCTCTTCAGCCTAGCATACACAAAGCCCCGGGTTCAATTTTTCAGTATCGCATAAAGAGAAAAAGCCAGAAGTGGTGCTCTGACTCAAGTGGTAGAGTGCTTGCCTTGAGCAAAAGCAGCTCAGGGACAGTGCCCAGGCCCTGAGTTCATACAAGCCCCAGGACTAAGGAAAGAAAGAAGGAAGGAAGGAAAGAAGGGAGGGAGGGAGGAAGGGAGGCAGGGACGGAGGGAGGGAGACAGGGGGGAGGCAGACATTGGTGGCTCAGGGCTATCATCCTAGCTACTCAGAAGTTTGAGACTTCAGGATTGAGTCTGAAGCCAGCTCAGACTTGAGATTCTTTTATTTTTTTTTTGGTCAGTTGTGGGGCTTGAACTTAGGTCCTGGGTGCTGTCTCAGAGCTATTCACCTCAAGTCTAGCGCTTTACCACTTGAGCCACAGTGCCACTTCTGGTTCTGGGGTGGTTGATTGTAAATAAGAGACTCACGGACTTTCCTGCTCAGGCTGGCTTTGAACCACAATCCTCAGATTTTAGCCTCCTGAGTAGCTGGGATTACAGGCGTGAGCCACTAGCAGTGCCTGACTAGACCTGAGATTCTTTTTTTTTTTTTTTTGGTTGGTCATGGGGCTTGAACTCTGGGCCTTGGTGCTGTCCCTAACCTCTTCAGCTCAAGGCTAATGTTCTACCACTTGAGCCACAGTGCCACTTCGGGCTTTTTCTGCTTAAGTGGTGCTGAGGAATCGAACCCAGGGCCTCATGCATGCAAGGCAAGCACTCTACCACTGAGCCACAGTCTCAGCCCGACCTGAGATTCTTTTATTTTTTTTTATGGGGCTTGAACTCTGGGCCTGGGCGCTGTCCCTGCACTTTTCAGCTCAAGGCAAGCACCCTACCGCTTGAGCCACAGCACCACTTCCAGTTTTCTAGTGGTTTATTGGAGATAAGAGTCTCACGAACTGGGCTGGGAAGGTGGCTCAGGGGTAGAGTGCTTGCCTTGCATGCATGAGGCCCTGGGTTCGATTCCTCAGCACCACATAAGCAGAAAAAGCCAGAAGTGGCACTATGGCTCAAGTGGTAGAGCGCTAGCCATGAGCTAAAGAGCCAAGGGACAGCACCCGTGCCCAGAGTTCAGGCCCCACGACTAGCAAAAAAAAAAAAAGTCTCACGGACTTTCCTGCCCGGGCTGGCTTTGAACGGCGATCCTCAGATCTCAGCCTCCTGAGTAGCTAGGATTACGGGCATGAGCCACTGGTGCCCTGCCCAACCTGAGATTCTTATTTCCAGAAAACTACTAAAAAGCAATGCTGGAAGTAGAGTTGTGGCTCAGGCCCAGGATTGGCAAGAAAAAAGCAAAAGAAAGAAAGAAACAATGCAGAGATACTGCAGAGATCTAGGGTTCCCATTGCCTGGTATTTCCCAATGATAAGATGCTCACATTGATACAATATAGACAGAGACTGTGTCCATCCATCCTGTGTTTCTTATATTGTTCTTTTGTAGCCACGCCCACTTTTCCATGCCCCTACCCCCTTAACTCCCAGCAGTCTTCAGTATTCTCCCTCCCTAGTGTTCTTTCGGCAATGTTACATAAATGGAAAAGCTATAATATGTAACCTTAGGGGTTAGCTGCCCCGGCCCCCATTCAGCAGAGTTTCAGTCTAGCTGTTCTGTGTGTGTGTGTGTGTGTGTGTGTGTGTGTGTGTGTGTGTGTGTGTGTGTGTGTCTGTGTGTGTGTGTGTGTGTGTGTGTGTGTGTCTGTGTGTGTTTGGTTCTGGGGCTTGAGCTCATGGTCTGGGCACTGTTTTGAGTTTTTTGTTTTTCGTTTGTGTCCAAAGTTAGCGTACCACTTGAGCCACAGCTCCACTTCTAGCTCTTCTTTTCTTTTTTTTTTTTTGTCAGTCATGGGGCTTGAACTCTGGGCTTGGGCGCTGTTCCTCAGCTCTTCAGTTCAAGGCAAGCTTTCTACCGCTTGAGCCACAGTGCCACTTCCAGTTTTCTAGTGGTTTATTGGAGATAAGACTCTCAGGGACTTTCCTGCCCAGGCAGGCTTTGAACCATGATCTTAGATCTCAGCCTCCTGAGTAGCTAGGATTACAGGCATGAGCCACCGGCGCCCGGCAATTTCTAGCTTTTTTGGTAGTTACTAGGAGATAAACGTCTCATGGACTTTCCTGCCCAGGCTGGCTTCAAACCATGATCCTCAAATTTCAGTCTCCTGAACAGCTAGGATGACAGGAATGAAGAATGAACTACCAGCCCCCTACCATGCTAATAGGTTTTTTTGTTTTTTGGCCAGTCCTGGGGCTTGAACTCAAGGCCTGAGCTTCTTTTGCTGTATCACTTGAGCAATAGTGCCACTTCCAGCCTTTTTTGTTTTATGTGGTCTTGAGGAATCAAACCCAGGGCTTCCCGCATGCTAGGCAACTAAGCCACACTCCCAGCCCCAATTCCTCTTTTTAAAATGGTCCTATTAACTTTATACAAAATGCATAGAAGTGTAATTTTGTAACAGCAACTAGAGTAGGGTATGGGGACAGAGCTATTAAAGGAGCAGGTTTTTGTTGTTATTGGAGGTATAAAGTGTTACAATTTCTAATACAGAGTGATAACTTTAGAATGTTAAATGTAATCCTCATGGTAACCACAAAGGAAATCCATGATGAATACACACAAAGGAAATGAAGAAGAAATGTAAAGATTTTACCATAATAAAAAAAAAAATCAACTAAGCCTGGTAGCTGATACCTAAGGTCCTAGCTACTCAGGAAGCTGACACTTGAGAATGGATGTTTAAAACCAGCCTTAGCACAAAACTCCCTGAGATTCTATCTCCAGCCAAGCAGCACACACACACACACACACACACACACACACACACACACACACACACACACACACACACACACACACACACACACACAGCTGGCAAGACACAAATTCAACACACAAAAATCACTTGTTTTTCTCAATT